TCTCATCTTGTGAAAAGCCAATCTATATTTGTGTAATTTTTACCTTATCTTCCTAAAACATTTTTATGTTTCTTGTAACTAAAGGGAATATTGCTTCACATACCTGCATTTTCATCAGCCTCTTCCATAATACTGTTATCTTGCCACACTGTGACACATGTATCTACAGCATAGCCAATAACTCACGTCTCTCTCTTACAGTAAAAGATAATCTTATGAAAGAAGATGCTTGTTCAGCCAGTTCTTTTATGCATTTATATAATCTTCCACTTGAACAGGCATTTTAGAACAATGAGTGATGGTTTTTTGTTGTTGTTGTTGTTTTAATTTAACAAATTAGTATCTGTCCAAGTATCTGGAAGACAAATTTTCACACTCATTGTTAACAGGGGTTTCGTCAATGAAATCCAAAGTGCAGCATGTGTAAGATTTAAACATCCTTTCTGGGTTCTTCCTTGCTGACTTTAAACTCCTGCCAAATTCATTTTTCAGCAAAAGTGATCCATTCTTTCTTACAAATTGGTCAACTGTCTTACAAAGTAACATTTCTAAGGAGCTGGTCAAAACAAACCTGAAGAAATTATGGCTATAAATCTTAAGAGCAACATCTCAAGTAGAATTTCTTGCTTTCTTCAGTAACACTTAATCCTACATATCTCAGCATAAATGATTTCTTTTGTAGACATGAGGATTTGAAAAATATATCTATCCAGCCACTAAAAATAATGTTTACAAATTGTTACAGTGGTTTTAAAAAAAAGTAAAGTCAATGATACAGTAAAAGCAAAAAAGGGGGGAAAAGGGCAGTATCTATAACTGAACAGGATGGGAGTCCAATGAGTAGGAAACAACTAGAAAGAATTATCAGTGGGAGAACTCAGGACAATTTTATCCTGCTTCTTGGTGCTTTCCCGAACCTTCCACTTTCTCCACATGCGCATGTATCCTCCTTTCTTTTCCAGACATTTTTTCATGAATACATACTCATTGTAAGTGTGGATTTCTTTTCTGTGGGCAGGAGGGAAGGTAAGCAAAAAGCTCGACATGGCAGGTCCCACTAGGGTCTTCACCGGCTGAAGAAATGGAGCAGTCGGAAAGGAGGAGGAGGCGGGAGGAGTGCTGTTACATTGTGGGGATTGCAATCAATGTCACCAAATAAAATGTGTGTGATTATTTGTTGAAGGGAAAACTAATTTGCTCTATCAACTTTGCCCAAAATCGCAATAAAAATCTTTGTAAAAGGAAGAAATATTGCAGCTGAAAATTTAAACCACCTCAAGAGAAACTGAGCTGGCTGGATTCCGCTGAGTCAAAGATTGGGGAAACAGTGTTTACTGAGCATCCACCCCAGGCCTGGGGCGGACAATGTACCCATGTCTCTGCTCAATTTGTCTTTGCCATCATCCCATACGGCAGGTGTTATAATGACCATCGATTAACACATACAGAACCACAAGCTCAGAGCAGACCAAGGGTTCTCCAGGGTCACACAGGATGCTCGGCAAGCAAGATTCAACCCCTGATCCTTGGACCCTAGAGACGGAGATGTTATCCCTGCACGGCAATGCTTCTCAGAACACAACAGAGGCAGCATCAGTCAGAGCCAGTGAAGGACCATGCGAGCTTCTGCAGCCGACAGTGAATGCTAAACCACAGTCTGTCTGCCTTTGCCCTTCTGCCCTGGCCATTTCCCCAAAGTCCTTTCTTTTCTGCCCACACTGTCTCTGTCACCACATGACAGCATCCTTCAGGCCAGGTCCTGGCCTAAGGAGACTCCAGCATCTCCACAGAGCACAGACAAAATGAATGTGTGTCCCCAGACAAGGGAGCATGAATGCCCCGTGGAGGACTACTCCATCCATCCTGGAGTCCACCAGAGCCAGCTCTTCCCACTTACCCTCCTACCAATCCCTGGCATCCAAGGTCATGGATAACAATGTGCATCTCCCCCCACGTGGCTCAGAGGGTGAAAACACAGGCCAACTTTGTATCAGCACACACACTCGGGCAGCGTGTAGCCCAGCAACAGTACCTAGCCAAAGTCCCTCCGGCCAGACAGCTGTCAGCCATCAGAACCTACCTCCCTAGCTCTACGCATGCACACACACACACTCACTCTCACACCCTCCTTGAAGCCAAAGCCATTTTCCCAGCTATCCAATGAGAGAAATTGAGACCAAGGAAAGCACGTTCTAGGGCAAGAAGGTTCCCGGATCCCCAGGGCAAATGAGGCTTGAAGGCTGAATGCCTATGGCTCTGCTTTCTTTGGGTTGTACGGTGTCTTCTAAATTGTTCAATGATTGGGCAACAGTTAAAAATCAGGAGATCTTAATTAAAATCCAGATTTCGGGCTCCTCTTTCTAAAATGGCACATCCATAAAGATCTATGTTCTCAAGTGACAAACTGGGCTGAAGCTGTGTGACAGCGGCTTCTCTGGACAGAGATGACCTCTCCAGCGGCCACACTCCAGAATCCAGGTCCCTGATGGCCCAGTGCATCTAGGTACAATACTTGCCTCGGATTGTGACCCTGCTTGCTCCGGAGCAGCATCCCGAGGACCAGAGGAGTTTCTGGGGTGAGAGTGGGGGGAAAGGGTGTGGGGAGCACTGGGCCTCATTCCGGAGCAAGCTGGACCTCAGAGGGGAGTCAGCATACACAAAGCACATCCATATCAATTGTGGAAGAGCCAAGTGGTGCGGGGAAGGACATGAGGTCCTGGGCAGTAATTACATGCTTCTAGCCTGTGTCTGCAGAAGTCCTGGTGGGTTACCCATTGGGCTGCTAACCACAAGGTCAGCAGTTCGAAACCACCAGCCCCTCAGTAGGACCCAGATGAGGCTATTGACTCCCATAACCATCTCAGACATCCGCAAGGGCAGTTGTACACTGTTCTACTGGGTCACTGTGGGTCAGAACTGACCCCATGGCAGCAAGTTTTGGTTTATGAGGCTGTGTCTCCAGTTCCAGAGGACACAAGGTGGCTATCTGCAAAGTATGTGCACAGAAAGGATAACAAGGGGACAAGAGGCGCCACAACACAATTGATGTGTGTATGGATTGTGATAAGAGTTGTATGAGCCCCTAATAAAATGATTAAAAAAAAAAAAAGACGCCACAAATGGTGCTCCCAGATCCCTGCCCTAGCTCGGGTCATTACCTCTTCAGGAGATTCTGCAGCTGGAACCCACCCCACACACCTGCAACCAGTTCTCTGAGGACAAAACAGAGAAGAAGCTGCAGGGGCCTCTGGGGGTTGTTGGTGGGGCAGAACTAAACACAGCCTCCTCCTCCTGATACCTGGATGGACATCAGACAGTGGACATGGGCCAAGGCAAGAAACAGCAGTGCCCACGATAGACAATACCTCAACGACTCACCATAACCCCTAAAAATTACACAGGACACCAAACTTGTAAAACCACATCAAGACATCCTAGGAATTTCCAGCACCTGAGATGGGCAGTCCCTTCCTGCCCAAGGCCTACTACTCTCTAGCCTCTGCTGCCCCCAGAACACATAGACTCCCCAAAGACCTCCCTCCAGCACACAGATCTCCCCAGGGCCAGCTCCCACCTGCTGGGCCCAGACCAGAGCGCTTCTTTGAGTCACCATATCCCTGCAGTCACCCGGGGAACAATGGCAGAAAATGGGCTCAGCGTTAGGAATTGGGGAAGAGGAGCAGGCCAGGGCCCTTGGCCAGCCCACAGTCCACTGTCAGGTCAGATTGTCCAGGGAAGAAACCCTGCCTCCCAGGCTGCCAGATGTACCCTATCACAGCCTACTCAACAGTAACCAGTGGTTCTGGGTACAAAGGCCAAACCAAAGCAAAAACAAAGCCTCCCCCGCATTGAGTCCATTCTGGCTCATGGCAGTTCTACAGGGCAGGGTAGAAGAAGCTCTTTACGGCAGGGGAAAGCCTCATCTTTCTCCCAGTGGCCGGTGGTTTCAAACGACTGACCTGTCCTGGTTAGCAGCCCAACGTGTAACCACGAAACCACCTGAGC